TCTTACAGCTTGAGCCTAAGTGTGTCGCAGGATACCCTCTAGGTGATAGTTCTTGATTACTTTTTGATAAATAATTCGTTCCTATTGCGAAATAGGAGCATTATTTATCAATCTGTAATAATAGACGTGGGGAAATTCTGTCTTTTTTAAAGACAAAAATTTTTGAGACAAAATACCCAACAAGAAGTTTGTAAAAAAATATACAGTTTATGTTTTTGAAAAAGGATTCAGAAAGCTCCAAGAAAAACTTTTTATCGATCGTAGTATTTGTTAAACTGAAAATCAACAAGAATTACCTCCACGTGGACTGACTTCCTCCCACTGCTCTGTATCATCCGATCGAAGGTTCACTCCCCAAAGTTGAGAGGAAAATTCTCCATCGGAAGTACTGCCTCCAAATAGATAAATTGTATCGTTTACACAAGTTAGAGTGTGTCGGGTCAATGGTGGAGGCCTTGCAGTGGAAAATTGTGCTCTTAAATGCCAGAGACGCGTCTGCACGTTATAATACCTGCAATCATTTCGAAAATTCCTCTGCAGGTGTCTGTTCTTTTCATAAATAGGAAAATAAACAATTTCTCTTACCATAAGTCATTCGCTAAAGTCCCATCCTCCATTTTGCCTCCAAAGATAGTAAAACCATTGGCCACAGCACACGCAGCGTGACCATACCTGGCTGGTGGACCGAGAAGTGTTTCCTCCATGGATCCTCTCCCGCTGTGCCGCTGACGTCGCATAAAGCGACTGGAATTATCGCCAACGGCGTAAAAAATATTCCCGAAGAAGGATTTCTTTGGAAGCCCCAGTCTATCAATACCTTTTACAAAAAGCAGTTAATGGTTTGCAAAACATCTGGACTAGATGCTTAGTCTTACCTTGTTGAGCTATAAAATCAGCTGCCTCAGATGGTTCGACACGATCCACCGATTCCCAGTCCATAAGTTCACTACCGTTTGAATCCCGCCAGCTACTACTTTGAAAATTATATACCTGAAAATGCATTCATAAAAGTCCCATACGTAAACAATAAATTTCCCGCCCATTTATTTGCGATTTCTACACAAAGCGTTAGTTGCGCTTTCATTCATACTTAAATTATACTGGAAATTGCAGACGTGTTTATCCCTACTACACGTCTCACCTCCAGATCTGCCAAAACATGATTGAGATCATATCCTCCGAAAACGTACAATGAGTCCGTAATTTCCACATAGACAGCAGAATGCGCTGCTCGCGGCCTCAACCCTTCCCCTGATTGGGCTAAGAAATGCCACTGATTGCCTCCCGGGTTGCCTTCAGGTAGCGAACATGCTCGACCTGAGTATCCAGAGCGGCAAAGACACCGCCCTTTGTTACAGTGTCCCCGAACTGGTCTTTCGTGTCGTCCACAATCTAGAAACAAATGTTTAAATTTAAATAACCGAATAAAACATTGCTTACCATTGGGACACAGTCGTCTTGAACAATCTATACCGCCCCACTCGGCCCCATTACAAACGCAACGTCCTTTCAGACAATAGCCGCGTCCTGTACAATTGCCTGGACATGCTGATATTGCATATTCCGCTCGAAATCCATCTAGTACATAGTTTGTGTCGCTGAAACAAAATTATTTAAATACGAAACAAATCGTGAAAATCAGTACCTTAACAAAATATGACAAATAACAAAAAATAGGATGGCAAAGCTAAACTTCCCACGAAACCAGTAATGGAAAGTATTAAATTTATATTCTTTAAGATTCCGTTTTCCCAAAGCAGAATCTATTAAATTTATATTTTATTTAAATATTACCATGCTAAGCTCAAATGTATGCTCAATTAGCACATTTCGGTATGCAGCATCTTTAGATATTGCCGATTTTTAATGATTTTTTGAACAGCCTTTTAGTGTGTAATATAAGAGTAGATTAAATAGTTATAATATAAATATGAATACATATACTGACCTATACAAAAGTAACAACATGCTGCCCGAGGTGGCGGTAACTTTTGGCGGAGCGGTACGGCCACTAAAACTACCCAAAAGTGGAGCAGCAAACGAAGCACCGTCATAAACAAACACATAATCATAAGCGCACTCGGTGCCCATACTTCGGAATGTTAACGAAATGAATCTCTCTGAAGAACTGTTCGATTTTATTAGCCATTCACAATGGCTATCCTACTCGAGTTAACAAAAAAATATTATTATTAATAGTTAAGTTTGATACAAAATGAATTAAATTTTAATTAAAAAAATGTACGTTGTAGTACAAGCTAGAAATTTAAGTTAAAAAGTGTCTGCAATCTCCTCGTATCAGAGATTTGTTCTATACGATAGATACTTGCATAATTACGCAAATAGGTCAAATGCTGCCAGAAATAAAAAAATACAAGGAACAAGGAAGTTTCCAAAGTAAACGAGGAAATTCAGCAAGTGTTGCTAGACGGCCCCTAAAAAAATAATCACCTTGTAGATGTAAACCCCCGAGAGTAGTACCCTACGTTGTAAATTTGAGGCAAATATTCGAAAAATTGCAAAAGTTAGTACAAAAACGCAACGCTTGCGGATAGATGTTTAGTTGAACTTTTCTACTTATTTTTGAAAACTCTATGACTTTCTTTCATTTTCGCGATTTAAAAAAGGGGCGCAAAATACATATGGGCAGATATGCATTCGATTGGCTCTAACTTTTTTACCTCCTTTATACCGACGCACTCAAAAAATGAAAGAACGTCGATAAAATCATGATGTTCCTTATAATCACTTTATAATATTTTACGGTGATTTTCTAGGTCAATTTACAATATGGTTAAAATATAGGCTACTATGAATTCCAGATAGGACTAATTTCGGGCATTAAGCAGAAAACAGAGCTTGTAATTAAATGATCTTCAAAAGTGAAAACTTTTGAATTTATTGACGGCGACAAACACTTTGCAAATCGAAAATCTAAGACTGATGAAAAAACCGATGTACATTAAATAAGTATAGAATATGCAGTTATGTTCCTTACGACATACGACTGTTTATGAATATTAATTTATTATACAAAAGTTAATTTCGCAAAAACAAAAAGTATTACTGTGATTAACAAATCACAAAAAAATGACACGGACCACAAATCAAAAGACGATTAAAGCACACAATTATGTAAAAATACAGTGATTGCAAATACAAATGGATACTTAATAATAAAAGGAATGAATACCTGCGTATAATTCGCTCCTACAGGGCCTGTACTAAGAACACCTGTAGGAGCAGTTAAAACTCTTCTGCTGCGGTCGCATGGACCCGGTTGAGTAACAGCCACGCCTCCCCATAACAGCAGTCCAAAAAGGATTTTTATGGGGCTACCCCCTTTCATTGCATGTGAGTCAATTCAGATTTTGGTGAAAACTAGACAAAAAAAAACAAAATTTTATTAAAATGCAATCGTTTTCACGGACGGTATACTCAATAAAAGTTGAAGTCGAAACCCATGTGTGGTTTATACCCAAAACATGTTGGGTTTTTAATAACTAAATGGTTTTTGCTAACCTGGTAGGTAAATAAAACTTAGTCTACTAAGATTTAGGTACTATTAGATCGATGTTCTAACCAATCTGCCATATTTCAAGCATTATTCATTCATTATCCAGTTCCTTACTTAACAACCATTCAAATTAGTTACAGAGGCAAATGAGTAAGATTCACTATCTTCCGTATATATTTCTTAACAAATCTTAAGTTAAATACAGTCCATAAAATATATCCTATTAAGCATAATTCAATCAAGTGTTAGTGGAAACAACTAGAGTTCAAGAGTTCAAGTTATTTGAGGCAGGATATTTAAAATACATTTTTCGAAAGCCCCACATTTTCAATTTTATCATACCTTTGGCTATCAAAATGAGAACGATTACTCTCCTAATAAAAGCTGGTTAGTAACTCAATTATAATTTAACTAGAAGGAACAAGTATCTCGCTACGAAACAGCTAAACAAGTCTTTTAATTGCTTAAGGATTACAAGGAATTGAGAAGTAAATATTGAGAAATTACGGTGGAATTAAATATAAATGAATTACCGGAAATATAGTGGTTTACATTCGGTAATACCTATATGCCTACGAGGACGCGTAAAATCGCATTGATGCAGAAATAATGAAATTCGAGAAATTACTTTTTTCGAAACTCTTGTAGGGTGCTTTTTATTTAACAAATCTAACTTCTTGATATGACAGAAATCCTTTATATATTCATAAGCACTTTGAATTTACGTTTGCAGCTGATATAAATTAATTAATATATTTTACAATTTGAAGCTAATTAATTGATTATTTCAATAAAACACAGTACTTCAATAGAGGAGGAATAACTATTATGCATTAGTAGGTTGATAATTATCAGAAACATAACACAGGTTAACAGGTTCTTTACCTTGAAAATTACTAATTGCACTTACCTTGTATAGATCCTCGAAAATAGGATTTCCACAGTAGGAAAAGATTAATTTCGTCGAGTATTCTTGGCATTTAACCATTTACTTTTCAAGCAAGGTGAAAATAGAGAAAATTGAATTATTGGAAAAAACAAAATCACCTCAAATTAACATAAGACTGGCACATAACATTTGAGCAAACACCTTTAATAACAGTTTCAGTTAACGACACTGATAAATCTCGATTTATATAACATCGCAACCTATTGCTTTACACTTGAACACAATTATTTAAGTTATAATGAAATCTAAAGGACAATTCTGTGCATTCGTACCAATTCGTACTTTTAATAAACAACCCATTATTTGACCAGATTTGACGTCTCGCGACCCTCGACCCTGAGCAACATTGACAGCTGTCCATAATGAACTACCCACAGAATATATAGCGGCGGCTACGCGTAGGACATCATTCTATGAACTACGCATGAACCATCCTCGCAGCCCTATCATCAAATCAAATCCTATCAACTTTGTAACTGCACGAGGTATTTTAGTTCTGGTAGACTGATTGTCTTTTTATCAGAAATATACAAATAATGACAATAAAAGAGAACTTATCAAGACCGTAACGAAAAGTAAAACCATTCCAATGGATCAGTCGATTTTAATTCATGATATTGAATCGAATGCTTGCCAAATAATAGAAAATGTTAAAAAATAAAATAAAAATCTTTCTGTTGAAAATTTATCATTTATATTAAATTCTTTTAAAAATATTGAAACATGCAGTACCATTAATATTGATAATACTTGCGTATTTGACTTTGCTATGGCTCGTAATGAACCACATAATAAGAAAATTAAGAAGCAAGTTTTTTTTGCTCTACCAAAAAGTAAATAAAAATAAGAAACCACATCAGGAAGAGAACGTAATTATTAAAAATACGTTGAGCAAGGGAGAATCGTTCATATCCAATAAAGCAGTTAATGGTCATATGTACACGGCTCTTAAATAATTACGTATTTTGATGTAGTACCTAGATATTTATTTTAGTACATGTATTTGTTTTATTCTTCTAATAAACGTATTAAGTTTTAATGACACTTTATATATTGCATATTATCAGCAGCGGCTGAACGATCTTTGATTTTAAATAAAAACGGAAATACATATTTCCATTCTCGCATGCGTTTTAGTTTTTCTTAAGATCTTATTAAGTTCACTTTCATTGTCATTAGTTCTATTGCACTTATTGGGTATATTTTCATAACTATTGAAATAATGTAACCATATTAAGTAAATATAGCTGCTACAAATAATATGTTTTATATTATATTTAAGGCAAGTACATTCAAAAGGATGGATGCAGATGTACACACATGCAAAACAGAACACTCGTATGGTTAAATACCATAGTATTTAAAAGATATTAACGACAAATAAAGAAACATAAAAACTTCTATGATAAGGCGCGAGGGTGGTGCATGCGCAGTTCATGGAATGGTGTCCTATGCGTAGCCGCCGCTGAATATATCACGTACTTGTACAGACACTTTGAAAATAAAACTAACTTAACGTTAGTTTTATATTCAAAGTACAGACACGACAAACTGATTTTCTCGTTTTTAAAGCCGCCATATTGGAAGCGAAACAAATACTTTCTATACAAGGTGTTCAATTCGATGTTTGAAATAGCTTTTTTGGCTTGAATTAAAAATTAAAAAATTGGAAAAATTAGTGTTCAATCAGAGTTCGTGCATGTATTGCCACTGAGTAATCAAAATACCAAAAAAATCCTGCAGTTAATGTCGATGAGTTAGCAAACACTCTGTATATGTATAATCAGTTTACAGACTGTGTCACCATATATTAGAAGAAGTTTTATAGCTGCTTTTAATCCGTCACGCTGAGAGCCTAACTTTATAGTGACATTTTTCAATTTTTAAGTGATTTTATGGTAATTTGGAAAATTTGGTTAAGTCGCAATGGTAAATATTTTTTAAAATTTGAGTTCATTAGCCATTCTATCAACACGAAACTTATTTTCTATCACGCAACGCATTCTTGATGTTAAGACGATACGAATCTCTCTTCAGCTTATAGTTGCAAAATATGTAAAACAAATTTATTAGGGCTTATTTTCA